AGATCTGTCCACGACTTTGCCTTGTCTTATGATCTGACACAGCTGGTCGCTGCGCCCACGCGAATCCCTGATGTGGCAGATCATACGCCTTCCCTGTTGGACCTTCTGCTGACCTCTCATCCGGACAGCTACCAGGTTTCTGTCGACGCCCCCTTGGGCTCGTCGGACCATTGCCTGATCCGGACCTCAGTGCCTATCTCGGGTTGCCCACGGTTTAAACCGAATGGCTTTCGCCGAGTGTGGCACTACAGGTCGGCAGACTGGGATGAGATGCGGTCCTTTTTTGCATCCTACCCATGGGAGCGAGTTTGCTTCAGTCTGGATGATCCCGACGCTGTTGCCGACTCTGTCGCCGATGTGGCGCTTCAGGGGATGGATCTTTTTATTCCGTCTTCTGTTGTGCCTATCGGGGGCAGTTCTCGACCCTGGTTTGGTAAGTCCTGCAAATTAGCCGCGCGCTACAAGCAGGATTGTTATCGAGCCTGGGCTGAGGCGTCAGCAGCTAGGGATGTAAATACCAGCCAGCTTAAAAAGAAGTATAACTCTGCCTCCAGGTCCTTCAAAAGAGCGATTGCCAAGGCAAAGTCAGAACACGTGGCCAGCATTGGTGAGAGGCTAGTGCACCTTCCTTCGGGAACTCGCGCGTTCTGGTCTCTTGCCAAGGCTGTCCAGGGGAACTTCTGTAAGCCGTCCCTACCATCTTTGCGCAGGGGGGACGACTCGCTGGCCCACACCGCAAAAGAGAAAGCCGATCTCCTGGGCTCTCTTTTTGCGGCCAACTCGACTCTGGATGACAAAGGTAACTCGCCGCCGAAAATCCCACGCGGCGAGACCTCCATGTCCGAAATCCAGTTTATCCAGAGATCAGTGCGAAAAGCGCTGCAATCTCTGGATATTCATAAGTCGAGTGGGCCTGACGGGATACCCCCCCTCGTGCTTAGGACTTGTGCTCCTGAGTTGGCACCGGTTTTAACGCGCCTGTTTCGGTTCTCTTACTCCCTAGGCATTGTCCCGAAGTCATGGAAGACTGCCATTATCCACCCGATCCCAAAAAAAGG